AAAGGGCGAATAAGAAGGAAAACTGATCACGTTTTTTGTTTACCGGAAACTATAGATATATTTTCAAAATAATAAGAATAATAGGAAAATGAGAGTATATTTTTAGATTTCTTGTACAATGATGCAAAACATGTATATTATGTATTCATACGTGAATTAATACATTTTTTTATCTCTTTCATTTAGAGTGAAAGCTGAGAGATGTTCAAACTTGACAAATATATGTATTTGGTGCTGGTCCCAGGCGTTCTTCTGTTTACCGTGTGTGTGGCAGACGTTTCCACCCAAACATGGTTTTATTGTTTTGGGGATTATTGTAATGTGTAAGTTGGTCACTTTAAATGTAAATAAGAATTACAAGTTTATCATTATGTTTGTAACCATATTGACTACAAAAACTGTACTACGGTGTTCCGTTAGGGCAATTGTTATTTCGCAGTTAAGAGCTGTTCAGAAGGAAGTGCGAAATTATATGGCAAAGTGAGGCCAGGAAAACATGATAAGGGTTGCTAACATTTATATTGCACTTTTGTTTCATACATTTGCAATATCGCATCGTATATTTGTACTTTCCCGTCATCAACAGTGTGGATTCTAACGGAACAACATAACTAGAATGTGATCATTTATATAAAGATTTTGCTAAACGGGCATTCTTGTAAGATTTGTGACCGGGGATGGGGTCGGGGGCGGTATACGAGCCACAATGTCGATAATTTATAAATGAAAGCTTTAAATTATGCATTTTCATGTCAATGTATTTAGGATAGAACAAAGGGATTCATATTTCATCAACTTCTATCTGATCTGGTCGCGTCCAATTAACATATAAACAACAGCATCAAACTTAAATAAAGTCATGTAAAATGAAGTAAAAAAAAGAATTCACAAACCCGTCCACTGCCGCTCGTCAGCGGAGAATACAACTTAAGGCCAGCAAATCAATTGTAAATTCCACAACAGTTACTTCAAGACCTAGATAAATATCAAATAAGCCAGGTCTATAGACCCATCCATCATCATTATTGCAATTACAGTTCGCCAAAGTTTGTCTACCAATGAAATCGCTCTATTTTGTTTAAATTTTGCCGAAGTATTTTCAATACAGTGCTGTAACTGAACTGTATGTATTAAATACGTTAAGTGAGCCGATTTAATGGACTTCGCCTATTTACATAGTGCACTCGGTGTGAATATGTCGCGGGTCAGCTAACTGTAAGTCGGTTATAGGTTATATACAGAGTTTTAATTTCTTAAAACTCTGTATATAACCTATAACCTATACTTACTGTAGTCACGTGGTGCTAGTGCGTCAACTGGTGGGTATAAAACAGCGTCCTGTTCCCGTCCCCGCACCTCTCTGCGGATTGTACGATAAGATATATATTTATAATAACTGAGAAATATCAAGATTTATAATTGCCAGGAAAACCAAATATTGAAATAATATTTGCAAAGAAATTGATGAATTCTTCTTCATGATGACTCCGATTTTGTAATTATCTTTTTCGTTCTATCATAACAGAAAGAAAAACATGACTGAGGAGTTCTGTTCTGTTAAGTTTCAAAAGTGCCGCCCTTGTTCTGAAGTTGTAGACGATTGCTTCACACCAGAAATGCCTTTGAACTGTACTCTAACATGTCTCGGTGAGTATTCAGAGATTTCGCAAATCTGATAAAAATCACTTAACTGTATAAGATACGAGTTGGTGGCATATCAATATTATGTGTATGGAATTACAAGAAATGAAAACAAATGAATGTAATATCATTTAAATGAAAATGACATCGTTCTTAATTCAAATGTTGTACAGTAAAGGCCTTAATTCTTTTTTTTTTTTACTATATCTATATCAAAGAGACATGATTTGATTATGTATAATCCAAATGAGAGACGTTTATTTTACTACCCAGAGCATACCGCTGAAAGGTAAGTTTTTTTGTGATAGCATGATGTGGAAAAAGTTGAAAATTTTTATGTCCAGTTGTACCTGGGATTTATAACGCTATGGCCATCAACATTATAATAAAAAAAACCTTAACACACATTGAATTATGAACATCTCTTAATGACCTACTTTTTATACCCCCGCACAATGAAGTTGTAAGGGGGGTATACTGGAATAAGCTTGTCCGTCCGGACATCCGGACGTCCGGACGTCTCCCCGTCCGTCGGTTTTTCCTTGTCGCCCAATAACTTGAGATTCCTTTGGCCCACGGTCTTCATATTTGGCATGGAGGTTAGTCATGATTAGTAGATGACTCTTATTGATTTTGAGGTCACTGGGTCAAGGTCAAGGTCACAGGAGCCTTGACTAAAAAAACCTTGTCCGCCCAATAACTTGAGATTCCTTTGACCCACAGTCTTCATATTTGGCATGGAGGTTATTCATGTTAAGTAGATGACCCCTATTGATTTTGGGGTCACTGGGTCAAAGGTCAAGGTCACAGGGGCCTTGACTTTAAAAAGCTTGTCCACCTAATAACTTGAGATTCCTTTGGCCCACCTTCATATTTGGCATGGAGGTTAGTCATGATTAGTAAATGACCCCCTACTGATTTTGAGGTCAGTGAGTCAAAGGTCAAGGTCACAGGGACCTTGACTTAAAAAACCTTGTCCGCCCAATAACTTGAGATTCTTTTGACCAACAGTCTTTATATTTGGCATGGCGGTTAGTCATGATTAATAGATGACTCCCATTGATTTTGAGGTCAAAGGTCAAGGTCACAGGGACCTTGACTAAAAAAAAGCTTGTCTGCCCAATAACTTGAGATTCCTTTGACCCACAGTCTTCATATTTGGCATGGAGGTAAGTCATGATAAGTCAATGACCCCTATTGATTTTGAGGTCAAAGGTCAAGTTCAAAGGGGCCTTGACAAAAAAAACTTGATTTTAAAATTTTCACATTTGAAGGATGGAAAATACATATCTAAGCAATGCACTGGCTTAGTAACCTCAGATATGGCAGGGTGGTTGTCCTTGAGTTCTAAATGGCCACTGTTGATTTGACAAAGCTGTATGCGGGGGTATTCACGCCATGGCAGTGGCAGTTCTAGTTTAATTAAATGTATGACAATCAGATTTTGACTAATCACAACTATGACCTGTAATAATGATGTGCTTTTGTTTGTTTTTATTTTATTTTATTTATTTTATTAATACACACATTAAATTTGATGAAGGTGATAAGTTCTTTGTTTTTACTGTATTGAATGTCATCATAATATTACGAATATTTCATAGCTTTCATAACAACTACTACAATGTACAAATATACTGAAACAAAAAAGAAACTTACTCCAAGTTTGAATGTAGATATGTTAGTACAGTTTTTCAATCCTTTTGAAACTCGATTTTTACGTTGAATAAACATATCGGGCTTTTATACGGGGATTAGCTGACCGATTTTGCTTACAAGCTACTACATGTATATAAGTGTGTACATCTAAGTGGTACCCTTGAACAACTGGCACATACTTTGGGAAAGTTTCTTTTTTTGGTTCAGTATATATGTTTGAATAATAATCATTTCACTGTCTATCTTCAGACCAGTATAAAGAGAGGATTTTAAAGGAGGAAATAGGTATAATTATGATCATTTTGTTAATCGTACACTTTTTAATTAGTTTTTCATATTTGAATCTTGTATAACTCATTAGGTATATAGTATTAAAATTATAAGTAATGTATATTGTGAACAGTAAGAATAACCACTCGATAATAAACATTATAGTTATTTCATTATTAATAGTCTTAATCCGTTCACAAGTGTCAATGCTTACATCATGATATGCGTAAATGTTATTTTCAATTCATTTAACATGATGTTTTTATGATTATTTAGCAAAACCATGCCAGGAAATACAAGAAATAGATAATGGGAACCATAACGGTTCCCATTCAAATATCTTGGAACCGGGTACCATCATTCATTATTCATGCATAAGTGGGCATCGTCTCGTTGGCTTTGATAATTTGCAATGCATGCAATATGGACAATGGACAAGTCCACCTCCTAGGTGTGAAGGTATTTAAGTATACATTTTATGTTTTTTTCCAAAATTTACGTTTATGCATATTTAACACTTTCTGGTTAAAAAGGTTTCAATACCTAGATATGATTATAATTTGTTCAAACTAGTCAACCAAAAAAAATTAAAACTTTAATGTAAACCAAATATGAATTTGAAAAAAGGAAAAAGTTGCCATTATATATAATCTAAAGCATTTCATAGTCTTAAAATGTTTAGGTTACCGTTTCCCTTTTTTATTTCCATCCTGCGAGACAAACATTAATTGCATTAATTGGCTTCCACATTAATGATGATATATATATATATATGTATTTATTTTACAGAGGTCCTTTGTCCAGTGCTTTCACCGATAAGCAATGGACATCATAATGGCTCATTAAAGCGTCATGCCCCCACAGTTACTATTATAACTTTATGTGACGATGGTTTTCAACTGATCGGGGAGAATACTACAACATGCTCTGGCGACGGACAATGGACGAATCATCTACCAACCTGTAAACGTATGTTAGGCTTTGAAATATTTATCATTTAACAAGCACGGTATCTTAAACACTTAATGTTAATTACACTCTTTACATTCCTACACAATTGAATAACAATGCGATATTAATAATCGACAATTCTTACTTTTTTTTCATAGGGACAGCAAATTGTGAAGGAATTTTGGTCCATCGCTAAATACTAAAGAACTCTATATTTCCGACTTAATCCAAATAAGACCTTGTTTAATCGTGTGTTAAGACACAATAAACGATTAATAAATATAACATTTCTTCAGTTTTAAACTTTTAGTATTAAATCTTAACTTCATGGTTTCAACATGCATAAGCATATACAAAACACTTTATCTAAAACAATATATTAACGTTTCGTTTTTAGCAATGTTCTGTGGAAAACTTCCACCGATCAGACATGGAAAATGGGTACAGTTAGATGAACATACAGATCATTTTACACATGGAGATACATTGTATGCACAATGCGACACTGACTACAGGATAGACAATCCTTCTGCATGGATCTGCCAGAAAGGACTCTGGACAAGCAATGTTTCATTTGTACCAAATTGCTTTACGCAAGGGGAGTCATGTCACAACAGTTGTAAGTCTTTAAGTCTTCTGTGTATCACAGTTTGCTTTTGTAAGTTTATACCGCCAATTTTTCATGTTAGTTTAGCACTAATTGTTGCATTTTAACCCCCTGATTGGCGTATTTCATACATTTCAGTCACCTTAATGATGGCGGTGTTACCCGTAGCCTTTTCTTCCATTTCAGCTATGTTGATCATTGTGGGCGGCGTTTTGTTTCTGTTTTTGATCATTTGAACCATCGGTAATGTGTATCAGTACTATGAACGTCGAAAGCTAAAGAAAGATTCAAAGCGATATTCTCAAATGGATGCTGAACATGGACAACAAAGATGTTTTCGATATAAAAAGATGCCTGAATCTGCAGAGGAATTAAAGAAACTTCTTATTGAAGAAGACAAACCAAACGATTCTCCAGATGTTATCTCACTCCACAGAAGGAATAGAATACAGGGTGCAAGAGACAATGTCTCACAAAGCCAAAATGTCCCATCCGAAAGCCAACCACAGCTGCCAGAACCATCTAATATCCCAGATATGAACGGAGGAATTAGTAAGTTAAATTTATATGATTAAATCTTCAATTATAAAACAAATAGGTGTTAACTTGTTAAGCAACTAACGAGAAAAAATAATCATTAAATTATTATTAGATGTATATCTGAAATTGTATATCTTTAAAATACATTTTATATGCTTATCAAATTTTTAATGATTTTTTGAATAAACATTACTGTATTTGAAACAAAAGTCAATTTGAAATCTAATCAACATATGATATAACTCCCATTTTTCATAGGGAATGGAACAAAACATTTACCTTTTATTCTTTCAGTCGTAAATGTTCACAATATCATTGAGAACAATAATAAAAACCACGCCATTGTTAACACATCCGATAGAAATGCCGGCGAAAGTGATGAAACTGAACGCAAATCCGCCCGAGAAGAGGATAGTGGCAACGATACGCCACCACAAGAACAATGTTTGCCACATCAGGAGAACGACAACACTCCTGTTGAAGAGAGAGGAGTATCATATCAGCCGGAAACTCCTGATCCCATTGACGTATCGCAGGAACCAGAGAGGGTACCAAATGATTCCGTGCAAATGCAGCCAGTAGCTGATAATGACGTACTAGCTCGACCTGAAGGGGTACCTAGTGTTATGGAACCTATGGAATCATCTCGACATGGTATTGAACAATTGAATGTCTACCCACCTGGTGGCACCGTACCTATGAAGAACATGTCAGCCGATTCTGGTGCTTTTGTTGGAACTCAGCCACTAAAGCCTGATAATGATTACACAGGAAATAATGATTATACGAGAGTAAGAGATTCACGAGATGCAGATACGTCTATTTCCCAAGATGAAAGTCTGAATAATAACGAAGTTGACGAAGACGATGACGCAATGTCTTCACAAAGAGTAGTTGGCGAGCATCATACAGATGAACATGTCCATTGATGCATATGGTTTGGCTTAGTTTTAAATTCTATGTATTCTCAAAAAATCTTGCTCAAAGAACAAAACATGTTTTTGTTTTTTTACCTAAAATGAACGTATGTGATACTGGCTTCCATTTAACATTTGAATTTTAACATGTCTGCATAAAAGTAGTTTTTGTTTGTTTTCTGAATTTTGCATCGTTGTAATCTGAGCTCACAAAACTCTTTTTGTGTTTTTGTTGGTCATTTAGCCAATTGTTCAAATAAAAATCAGGCTAAGAAGTCACGATGTTCTCATAATTATGTTTAATATTTATTGCAAACTTAAAGGTCGACTAGAAATGACATTGGATAATGATTTAAGAAATTTATGTTATGACTAGTGTCCAATAAATCTGCCCAAAACAGTTAATACAAACTTTGATCTTGGTCATAATGTTGATTTATGTAATTCGCCAGTTTTCGTACAATTTTGCAGTTTTTTAACATACAAAATTATTTTAACAGTGCATGAAAACAAATTGTAGTCTCGATTAATCTTTACACTATTTTATTTATTATTTTAGTAATAACATAACATGTAGCATGGACATAAACGAAGTTACAAGGTTCTTCAACAAGAAATTTTACTGAGAGGTTTTATAGCGCCTTTATATAATATTTTATATGTACAATACTCGTTAAGTTTTGTCTTCAATTTAAGAGTAATTATCTATATTAGTATGCTTCTGTTTAACGCGTTTTCTATGTGAGAGCGAATATCCAAGGTAAATCGCTCGCAGTGCAGCTTTTCAAAAAGTGTTTGAAGCTACATTGTACTACTTTGTACAAAACAAACAAACAAACATTATTACCGTTTATAACAGATATTTTATGACTCACACACCGAATCAAGTGCATTGTAAATTTACACTACCCACTTAATGCATTAATATGTTTATATTTTGTTTTAACTTCCGTTTTAAACTTAAACACGAATGTATAATACGAAAATTTAATTGCAACGAACAGTTAAAATATTCAATTACAAGATATTTGTCTAAAATGTGATCTTTGTGGGGAAAGAATAAGTGTTTTTAGAGTTTCTGTATATTGAAAAATTGAAAAAAACTTTAAACCTATTGTATAACAAGGAAAGGGAATTAAACTTTACAAGTGATACTTGGAATAGATCAGTACATGTTATAATGTTATACTTTAGTTACATAGTTTGTAGTCGTTGAAGCACGAGGAAGTATGTGTGAGGTTTGTAAAGTTATAAGATATTTTTTTAAAACGTTTTTGTATATATGTTTTATAGTGCACATTATTCTGATAGCTTATGTTTAGTCATATCAGTATACTTTAATAAGATAACATAGAATATTAGCTTTATTTTCTTTCTGTTAATAGAATAACTATTCCTGTTAATGTAATGACTATAATACTTTAAGAATTGAGAATATGGGTATGTCTATGACTAATCAGAATGTGTGGCTTATTATTCTTGTAAATATGTACTGATCTTAAAATCTTTTTATCAATATTTGGCTGTCTGTTACAATGTAAATATATTTTTCTGTGTCATAGTATAATTTTGAATAGGCGGAACGATATAAGCAGATCTCATTGAATAAAGTGCGGATGATGGACGCGCAAAATCATCACTTAATCTGTTGTTGAGTGTATTTTTTTTTTATTAGGGAGCGTTATTCTGTTGTTGTTGTTTTTTATGCAGTCGTGATTTTAGATCTGTGTCATTGAATCTGTGTTTGTCAATATTTTGATGGCTATAACTATGAAGCTTGCATATATTGTAATTTGTCTCCCATAAAATCATCTTTGCCAATGTGTATTTGTGTTTTGTATTTAATATTCGAGGAAACTTATCGTTTGAAATACTTTGAAAATAAAGTTAATTGATAGCTGTGACTATATATCATTTACCGTTTACAGTTTCCAGAGATAATCGACTTGAATGTTGGTGGAACGCAGATTACCACTAAACTTGAAACTTTAACACAGGATGCTGACAGTATGTTAGCAGCCATGTTTAGCGGACGTCATTTGGTTCAAAAGGATAATGATGGTCGATTTTTCATTGACTGCGACGGACTTCTTTTCAAACATATATTGGAATATTTACGTTTTGGTACGATTCCAAATAATGATGAAGTGCTTAACGTTTATAGTTACGCGGAGTACTTTGGGATAAACGGTTTAATGAAAGAACTGGAATTGTTTCCAGAAGTTCATTGTGTTCTTAAGAAACGCACTTATGAAGCGGCATTAGAAAAAGACTTCCATTTGTACGAAGAGTTGAAAAGAAACGTTGTTAAAGAAGTTGATGCATTTTATAATGTGGATAATATACTGATTGGCATTTCAATAAAATTGCCGCTTGAGACAAACTGCCGGGCTGCAATACCTTGTCAACCTATGATTTATGGAAATGCTACTGTTTCAAAAGCATGTGCGGGAACTAAGGTGACAGTCTCAGTTACGAGTGGAATTTGTAATGGTTGGTCGAAATGTCTTTCGATGGATCTTAGGGAACTTGGATTAGCAACATACACATATTATTTAGATTGTGAGGAGATATTAAGATGTAAACGATGTAGTAGGTTGGTGGGAAGGAACGAATACGTGCTTCTTGGAAATAAACCTGTGGTAGAGATAGATAAGTCACACTTGCGGGAAGCCTTGATGATTTAATTGTGGGAATAATTAGTAAAAATTCAAAATTTTTTTAAACTTCGATTATTTGGAATTAAATCTGTGTTTGGTAGGTTTAAATTCAAAACTTGCTTTAAAGTTACAGTTGATAGTGTGAAATAATTAGTACATAACTGATTTAGACCTGTAATTAAACTGTTACAGTAATGAAAGTATATTAGACGATATACGAGTGAATCTGGCGAAACCCTAACTGATTTTGTGATATTATTTTTAAGACGGGTTTATAACACAATGATCTTGGTATATTAGTGATATTAAAACAATCCATGACAGATAATGTGGAATAATTAGTATGATACTGCTGTCATGGAAATACATATGTGTTAGAGATAAACATATCTGTCTGGGGTTAGTCATGGCTGATAATGTGATATTGATATAAGACTAGATTTATTAGACTGTGATCTTGTAAATAAACCTGTATAACAGATATATTAAGTGAAATTGGCGTAATAAATGACTGTAATTGTCGGGTAATAGATGCAATCAAGATTTTAAGCTAAACCTATGGTAGAGTTTTAGTCAAGTTAGGAAGGCTTAAGACATGTCTTATAATGAAAAGTAATTAGTATAATCAAGAGTAACGACGGCTATCTAGGTTAGAAACAGGCAAGTCAGGCTGGTTTAAGTTGGGAATTGTGTTTATTTCAGATTTAAAATTGCGACATATATGCTAGAAATTGACATTTAAGGCTGTGGTAGGTCATTACTTGTAATATGGTATTATTTGCAGAAAAATATATGTATAAATAATATCATTACTGTATTTTCCTATATGCAATGATGAGGCAAAATCTTGTCTATTGAAATATTTTCATGTCAGTTTTTGAAGTGTTAAAATTTAAAATGTTACATCTGATTTTCTCACCTTCCTAACTTAAAATAAGTTGTTTTTTTACTTTGAGGCAACAATGCCAAGATTCATTTTTATGAACATTTTAACAAAGTTCTGATTTATTTAAACTTTATCAATGATAAAGATTAAATGATATTCTACGTCACTGACTTTCTACGGATATAAATGATATTATGTGAAAATTTTAAAGAAATAACCCATAAATCTCCAATATTAATATTGTAGGATGATAACGATAGAAATGGTGAATTAACATATACTATTTTACAAAAACCATGTGTCATTTAGATTGTGAATAATTATTTCTATTTGTATAGTTATATTATATTTGTGTTAAGGTTGAAGTAAAAAGCAATCTTAACCACAGATGTGAAACTTGTGTGTAAGATTAATGTGTCTTTGAATCGCTGAATTATCGTTACCTCCTGGTTGGAAGAAATTTTAAGCTACAGGAAGTACCATCTTTACATTGTATATGTACAAGTATTAACTTATTAGTCATCTGACATGTTTGTAATTTCAATATCCCATTTACTATTTCATATGAATATTAACTTGCCAATTTTCATCTGATATGTTACCCACTTTTATTATGCCCCCATATTTTCGCAGAAAAGGGGGTATAATTGCTTTGCACTTGTCGGTCCGTCGGTCCGTCCCCGGTACCCAGTAGACCAAAATGGTTTCCGAGTGGGATAACTAAAAGAACCCTTAGGCCTAGGAGAACTTACAAAACTTGGTTATGGTGATTGGTCATGATTCAGTAGATGACCCCTATTGAATTTGGGGGTCAAGGGGTACAAAGGTCAAGGTTCACATATCGACCTTGTAAGCAAAAAACGGTTTCCGATCAATAACTAAAAGAACCCCTTAAGCCTAGGAACTTCAAAACTTTGTTATGGTGAGTTGGTTCTATGATCAGTAGATTGGGACCCCTTATTGATTTTAGGGTCAAGGGGTCCCAAAGGTCAAAAGGTCACCATTGACCTTGTAAAGCAAAAAACAGGTTTCCGATCAATAACTAAAGGGGGGAACCTTAAGGCCTAGGAACTTCAAATTGGTATGGTGATTGGTCATGATCCCAGTAAGGATGGACCCCCTATTTGATTTTTGGGGTCAAGGGGTCAAAGATTCAAGGGTCACCATTTGACCGTGTAAGCAAAAAAACGGGTTTCCGATCAAATTTAACTAAAGAACCCTTTAAGGCCTAGGAACTTCAAACCCTTTGGTATGGTGATTGGTCCATCATCAGTAATTGACCCCTATTGATTTTGGGGTCCAAAGGGTCAAAGTCAAGGTCACATTGACCTTGTAAGCAAAAAATGGTTTCCCGATCAATAACTAAAGAACCTTTTAAGCCTAGGAACTTCAAACTTGGTATGGTGATTTTGGTTCCCATGATCAGGTAGAATGACCCCTATTCGATTTTGGGGTTCAAGGGGTCAAAGTTCAAGGTCACATTGAACCTTGTAAGCAAAACGGTTTCCGATCAATAACTAAAGAACCTTAAGGCCTAGGAAACTTTAAACTTGGTATTGGTGATTGGTCATGATCCAGTAGATGACCCCTATTGATTTTGGGGTTCAAGGGGGTCAAAGGTTCAAGGTTTCACATTGACCTTGTAAGCAAAAAACGGTTTTTCCGATCAGATAACTAAAGAACCCTTAGCCTAGAAACTTCAAACTTGGTATGGGTGATTGGTTATGACCAGCAGGATGGACCCCTATGTGATTTTTGGGGGTTAAGGGTCAAAAGGTCAAGGTCACATTGACCTTGTAGGTAAAAAAACAGTTTCCCGATCAATAACGGAAAAAGACCCTTAAGGCCTTGGGACTTCAAACTTTGATATGGTGATTGGTCATGATCAGGAGATGACCCCTATTGATTTTGGGGTCAAGGGGTCAAAGGTCAAGGTCACATTGACCTCTTAGGTAAAAACTGTTTCCAATCAATAACTGAAAAGAACCCTTAGGCCTAGGATTTTTCAAACTTGTATGGTGATTGGTCATGATCAGTAGATGACCCCTATTGATTTTGGGGTCAAGGGTTCAAAGGTCAAGGTCACATTGACCTTGTAAGCAAAAAAACGGTTTCCGATCAATAACTAAAGAACCTTAAGCCTAGGAACTTCAAATTTGGTATGGTGATTGGTCATGATCAGTAGATGACCCCTATTGATTTTTGGGTCAAGGGGTCAAAGGTTCAAGGTCATTCACATTGACCGTGTAAGCAAAAACGGTTTCCGATCAATAACTAAAGAACCTTAAGGGCCTAGGAACTTCAAACTTGGTATGGTGATTGGTCATGATCAGTAGATGACCCCTATTGATTTTTGGGGTCAAGGGGGTCAAAGGTCAAGGTCACATTGACCTTGTAAGCAAAAATGGTTTTTCCGATCAATAACTAAAGAACCTTAAGGCCTAGGAACTTCAAACTTGGTATGGTGATTGGTCATGATCAGTAGATGACCCCTATTGATTTTGGGTCAAGGGGTCCAAGGTCAAGGTCACATTGACCTTGTAAAGCAAAAACGGTTTCCGATCAATAACTAAAGAACCTTAAGGCCTAGGAACTTTAAACTTGGTTATGGTGGATTGGTCATGATCAGTAGATGACCCCTATTGATTTTGGGGTCAAGGGGTCAAAGGTCAAGGTCACCATTGACCTTGTAAGCAAAAAACGGTTTTCCGATCATAACTAAAGAACCCTTAGGCCTAGGAACTTCAAACTTGGTATGGTGATTGGTTATGACCAGCAGATGACCCCCTATTGATTTTTTTGGTTTTAGGGGCCAAAGGTCAAAGGTCACATTGACATTGTTAGGGTAAAAACAGTTTCCGATCAATAACGAAAGAACCCTTAGGCCTTGGGACTTCAAACTTGATATGGGGATTGGTTTCATTGATCAGGGAGATGACCCTATTGATTTTTGGGGTCAAGGGGTCAAAGGTCAAGGTCACATTGACCTCTTAGGAAAAAACTGTTTCCAATCAAAAACTAAAGAACCCTTAGGCCTAGGATTTTCAAACTTGGTATGGTGATTGGTCATGACCAGCAGATGACCCCTATTGATATTGGGTTAAGGGGTCAAAGGGCAAGGTCACATTGACCCTGTAGGGTAAAAATGCTTTCCAATCAATAACTTAAGAACCCTTAGGCCTAGGAACTTCAAACTGGTATTGGTGATTGGTCATGACCAGCAGATGACCTATTGATTTTGGGGTCAAAGGGTCAAAGGTCAAGGTCACATTGACCTTTTAGGTAAAAACGGTTTCTGATCAATTTAATAAAAACGCTTAGGCCTAGGAACTTCAAACTTTGTATGATGATTTTGGTTGTCTATTGATTTTGGGTCAAGGGGTCAAAGGGCAAGGTCACATTGACCTTGTAAGTAAAAACGGTTTCTGATCAATAACTTAAGAACGCTTAGGCCTAGGAACTTCAAACTTGGTATGGTGATTTGTCATGACCACGCAGATTACCCCTATTGATTTTGGATCAAGGGGGTCAAAGGTCAAGGTCACATTGACATTGTAAGTAAAAACGTTTTCTGATCAATAACTAAAGAACGCTTTGGCCTAGGAACTTCAAACTTGGCATGGTGATTGGTCATGGAGCAGCAGATGACCCCTATTGATTTTGGGTCAAAAGGTCAAGGGTCACATTGACCTTGTATGTTAAAACGGTTTCCGATCAATAACTTAGAACCCTTAGGCCTAGGAACTTTTTTCAACTTGGTATGGTGATTGATCATGACCAGCAGATGACCTATTGATTTTTGGGTCAAGGGGTCAAAGGTCAAGGTTTCACATTGACCTTGTAGGTAAAAAAACGGTTTTGATCAATTAACTAAAAACGCTTAGGCCTAGGAACTTCAAACTTTGTATGATGATTGGTCGTGACCAGCAAATGACCCCTATGAGTTTTGGTCAAGGGGTCAAAGGTTTAAGGGTTCTGACCAGTTTGATACTTTATAACCGTTAAATTTAAATTTTTTTTGATCACGGGTTTAAAGTCATGCATAATAACCTTTTCACATTTTCTAATTTGGGTGCTGATAGGGGGATACATTTTTTTACAAACAAAAATTTTTTTAAAACTATTACTTTTTAAATTTTATATTAAAAATTTATTTTAAGTGATAAATAGAAATTGTTTTTCTGTAGATTCATTACTTAATTTTTGACTCGTTTAATTAATTCAGTATTGAACCTACATATATTCAAAATGCACTATATATACATGTACTATTTTACAACACAGAGAAGTGAGAAAATTGCAATGTTGAAAATGTTAATATTTTTATCACTTCATCTGGGGTATAAAGTCAAACAAATTTTCTTTTTTGCTTTATGCCTATGAATTGAAAAAAAGTGCAGTATTTGTTCCTGTTTAACACTGTTTAATAATCATTTACATTGAATGTTTATAATTATATAAATGTATTGTTTATTTTTCGCTTGATAATGCGTGTGAGTCTTGTCAGAGTACAGTTTCTGTTAGTTTATACAGAATTTATTTTAGTTCGGTTATGTAGGAAGCTATAATCTTATAAACACACTCTAGAATCAGTTTACTGGGCAATGAGTTTTTGGCTCAAGGGAAACAACTGCTTGCCTCTGACGAGGTTTGAACCCAAGCGTCTAATATGACGCGTTCATCAACGGGCACTGTCCCCAATTATAATACGCGTTCATCAACGGGCACTGTCCCCAATTATAATACGCGTTCATCAACGAGCACTGTCCCCAATTATAATTTATGTCTTTATTATGCTCCTCCCCCCCCCCATTTCAAGAAGATGGGGTATATTGTTAATTGTTTAAATTGTTATTAAAAACATGTGAATTATCAACATAATGCATTGAAAATAAATCAATATTTTTATTATTATCATATTTTAAATGATCAAGTGTATCTACAGGGAAAATAAATTTTTCAATAAAATGTTTTCAATTGAAAACATTAATGTTTTAGTGTATATTTATTTGTTTTTAAAGACCACACATACATGTAGTCTATGGCCTTTTCAGTATCTTAACACCTTCTACATCAATACTTCTTGACAGGAATATGAACTCTAGTTTCCACGTGAAGCCACAATTTGCTCGGTTTCTACAGTTCTGGGCTGTTAAGGCATCAAAGAAAAATCCTTGTTTGCAGTATCCAAGCTTACATAACTCGTGTGCCAAATATCTAGAAATGTCAGAAGCATCATTGATGTATAACGTCTGCATCGGTATACAATTGTCTGCCTGTCCCTTCAATGTTTTAACTTCTCCAAGGTTCAACAACTGTGAGCTCACCATAAGTGAGTGATCTTTACCACATGCCTCGTCGTTAAGAATGTAAACAATCGGTATTAACGTGTTGTCATGGCAGTTAACATGAGCTATATTTGTCAGAACTTTGTTCCGAAATTCCTCATAATCAACTCGTGTATCGCCGAAATTTTCGAGAACCTTTTTCATCCGGTTTTCATACTTTATTGGGAAGAAGTTCTCTAATGAGTCTACAAGAGCCTGGATTTTGAATATCTTTGCATATCTATATAATTCAACAACATTTTCTTGTTTTGGTAAAATTCCAAATCGAAGGAATTCTAAGATATGAACAAACGTGTCCCCATTACAGTCGATAAAATACCTTCCGTCGCTGTCTTTCTCGACGGCTATTCTACCAGTAAACACCTCAGTTAGCATGCTTTTAGGGTCTTTAACAAGTGTACTGAGCTTCGCTGCCATTAACTTCCCGCCGACATTAAGCTGCACGACGTTGGGGAACTAAATAAAAGAAGTTCACGGACATGTTATTCTTGACATTAAGATGCATGTGAAATAAACATTTAAATTTAATTAAAGATAGTTTATCAGCATTTTTCTATCGAATTAAGCAATGGGATTTCATTTGTTTTATTCACATTATAATCGTTTTCATACAAAACATTCTAATGGTTCCTTAACACTTATCACTTTAAAAATCTTACATGGATATATTCATCTTCAGTCTGGACAAAGCCATTCATCATTTTCAGAGAAAATTTTAGAATAATTACAGGCTGAATAGTGAACTATGCAGACAAAGATCGTACGGAACGATATTGTCTGATAGTCTTGGACAGCACCGGTCGTATGAGTAAAATACGTTGCTACCAGACTGAGGATCAGACGTAAAGTTTACAGTACTTAATAAGAGATTTATTGTATTAACAATTTTAAAATATAGTTGTTGTTAAAAGATAACAGTTATGATATAATCAGGGAAAAAATATGTAAAGAAAAAATTGAGGCAGAAATGTTCAATTATCACGATATTGAATGTGAATGATCTACATGTTTACGGATAATTTATGTTAGTTATTACTTTAATGAAACATTTAAAAAGCTCTGTGTGTCAATAGTTATACGTACACCTTTAATACGGAAGCAGTGGCCTAGTGGTTAAGGTATCTGCCTCTCAACCCAGGGATCATGGGTTCGAGCCCTAACCGGGTGACGACCTTGTTTCCTCATATTACACCAGTACTGGTTGGTTTTGAAAGTGATTAATACAAATTGTAAGAATTTGTTTCGCAATCGAGCTTAAATAAATACGTTTAAACCTAAATATAAAAAAAACTTACGTACCTCGGAAGACATTTCCATCATAACTTTGCGGTGTGTGACAAAAACTTTACACAGAAAACATTACACAGCATAAAATTAATGCACAGTTTAAATCACACCATAAAATCTCATGTTATCAGTGTACACATTAGACAATGTTTTATCTGTATGCAAGTATCAAATGAAAGGGGAGAAATTTAGATATCAGGATCAGTTATCATAATGATATTTCATGATAAAGCAATTTATGTCGCATTTTACTTCTTAAAGGCCCATTAAGCTTCGAAAATGCAAATATTTATTAAAAAAAAAAAAAAAAACTTTTTGGTGTCCAGTTACATTTTTAAAAGCCATTTAGCTGGGCTGATTTTGTTTCTTTTGCTTTTTGGCAATTAGTACAGTTAATTTGATATGGTATCTTTGACGAAAGTTAAACCTTCACTTTATTTCATTTTAGCTTTTCATTTCATAAAAATTTACTAATACAGAAATCATAGAGTATAATGTACCGTTTTACAAAGAGCTAATAGAAATAGCAAGAGCTAATAGAAATAAGTAGCCATACACACTTGCTTGCAAAATTTGCATTGTAAACAAATCAACGAACTACCATACGCTTAAGTCATTGTGGCGCCGTTATATGTCGCAACACCGCTAAATGTCGCATTTACCGCTAAATGTCGCACCATTGCCGCTAAATGTCGCAACCGCCGCTAAATGTCGCAAAATCATTTGCTGTTAAATGTCGCAATGTTAAAGTTAAATGTCGCACGGATTTCCCCTACCGTTAAATGTCGCAACACTATCGTTAAATGTCGCAAGATGTTGAACTCGAGTTTTATATAAATTGGTTGAAATTTATGGAAAAATATACTGAAAAACATTACAAAAGGAAAAAAAAGATATTTCAGACGTAATGTATAAGTTACCTGCCCCTGAGATTATCCCAAATAAGTGGCTTGCCCGGCTATAGACTACACGTGAAAATCAAATAAAAAACAAAACAAAAAATATATAGAATTCTATACCTATCAATGAAATTGTCAGTGTCAGTTCTAGCTAGGCGCCGTTGAACGTTTTAATAGCCAGAGCAACAGAAATAAATTGGTGTAGATGTGATATATACGCGCTGCATTTTGAACAATCTTATGAATATTTTTTATTTTCTACTTTTGCAATGTTTTTTTTTTTTTTTTTTTTTTTTTTTTCAATTTTGTTATTTTAGTCTGATGCTGATTTTTTAACAAATAAGTCAGTGTTCATGTAATTTACTTTTTTTGTTCACATTTGTTACAATGTCACAAATGTGTTTCCTATTCTAATTAAAATCTGGGACCAAAATTTTATTATTGTTCCAGTTAAAATATACCAACCAGGGTATGAATTTTTTAAAACTAACGCAGAGATATAGATAAATCTACATCTCTAATAAACGTTATTGCTATGACGAAACTGGTAATATCTTTTTCTAAATTTATATACTATTGGATGCACGTCAACTTGTGTGCAAGATTTCAGATTATTCGCTCACTCTATTTTTCCAGTATAAGTGCAAAATGACCCAAAAATGAAAAGTGGTTAATATTCAGTTTAAGCGCTTGAGTTTAAACTCTTTATTTTTACACTATACGTCACAGTATTTTTGCAATGACCTGTATATTTGGCTCCTCCTCCTAACAAGTCATTCAATTTCGTTCGCGCATGCTTAGTAGACTGGGTATATAAACCGAGCACGCTTCTGCAAATTCCTTTTCGATCCAGTCTCCAAGCTCCAGAAGCTGCCGTGAACTAACACGGAAAAATATTGGAATAAAAATTATGTAGCGGTTCTGAACAAACATGGCAAAAAGACTTCATTTTTGTGTTTTTAAAGTAGCCGAAGGTAGAGTTGCTTTTCTTTATTATCTTTAATATTGTGTTAAATTTATCTAACAAACCAATTTTTCAAATTTTATTACGACCACGAGATTTAGACAATCTAGATCTATTTCCGATACTGTAGGCTTTCGGGCAGAGAAAGGTCTGAGAAAAAGTGATCCTACTAAAGACATTGTTGATACTATTTTGCAATACTGCAGTAGGTTTTTTAGCCTAATAAAAACAAATCACGTCATCACTAGACTTTATGACGTAACGAATACCTTGTGACTAGTGGAGTATACAGTGTAATAAATGCCCTGACAGTATGTTATTGTGTTAATGTTTATAAAGTATTGATAAAGAAATTTTATCTACCCATAAATTATGTTGAATGCTTGTCCAGGTAGATCTATCCTTTAATATATTAAACTTTTCACGTAGGGATGCTTCATAATGGTTAGTAATGTCATTCGTAGACATTATAAGTTGTGATAACGTAATACGTTAACCTTGTATTTGTTGTAAACTCAGCATTTTAATTCTGATTTTATTCTACTTTCTTTTACAAATTGCTGGGGCCATGCCAAACGACAACCTAACCTGTCACAAGTTTTCTGGCTGTCAAGGTTTCTTTGAAGAGACTGGTCAACATTATGTTCTAGACAATGGCACCAGAACAGAACACAGAAGTCGGTAGAACCAGCAGAAGTTGTGATGCCAGGGGTTTTTTTTACTAACAAATTGACACCGATAGTCGGCGTCTTCCCCTCGGTAAATAGCCAAGTTTTTTCCCCCAAAAAATTCTAGTTTCCTTTAAACTGGATCAGATTTAATAATTACATGGTTTAAAATATTATTTTTCTTCATTTTATGCAGGATAAACCACCAATTGTTGTCCAAAATAACCAAAAACATTGCAGGAAACTGCAAGTACTGTCTCAACAGGTCTCAACATGGAGGCAGCCATTTTTTTTTCTTGGCTATATCCCGTACTGAACGGTACTATTTCTGGAAATCAGTTGCTATCAAAATATTGTCATTTTCTTGGTTATTTTTAGTAAAGTAATATATTTTGTACTTCTTATTATGAAAATGACTTATATGGAGCCAAAGTGTGTCACAGATACACTATTATACCTATACTGTATTAACTTTCATATAAAAATAGAAGTATAAAAACCATTCACCACCATACATATTAAGAAAATATGTTATACTGCAAAGAATATTTTGCATGATGATAAAGTTTTTAAGGGGAAAAAGATATAGTTGTAACTCTCTACTATGTAGTTAAGTATATAGTATAAATAACGACATAATAAAGTTTCCCCAAATTGACTTTTTTCGTATATTTTTTCCCCTCCCTACCAGCGTCCAGCGTCTTCCCCTTTTCCTAAAAAAAACCCCTGGATGCCTAAATCAAGCTAATTGTTGATACAAATTAACCGATAGACAGGTGACGTCACTGTTTTTTAAATACAAATTATAGTTAAAATTTAATCTATAGATGCTGTTTGTGACAAAAATGACATTATCAATTAAATACACATATATTCCTTATTACAGAAGAGTTCTTCAAAAATGCAGAATATTAACAAAATGTCGGTATTTAACATAAAATATTCTTAAAAGCAACTGTCGCAACTGTACGAAAATGTTTTAAACTTGGGCGGATACCTTTTACATTATTTTACACGTCGATTTAGGGGTTCTCGGCTGAGGTCCTACGTCCACGCACGCGCGCGCACACACACACACACACACACTCAAATAACGTTACATAGATCTGCTGGGAATAGAATGGAATAGAAAGATCAATTAAAAAAAAAAACAAAAACAAAACGGAGTGATGGAATTTTTTTTGTAATTTTGCACATTAGTAATTATCTATTACTGTACCAAATAATACGATAATTAAAATATATATATATATATATTTCCAGTACTGTCATGTCAAAAATCTCTTCAGTCGAGTACCTTTAAGTTATAAGACATTGAGGACCTTTAATTCATAAAATGACAATAATAATAAAATATTGGGGGAGACAGGACAAAGAGAAGTCAATTAATGATTTAAAATGGGAAAACATGTGACTATTGATACAATTACACTTATAGTCATCACAATATTATTCTTTAACTTTTTGAACATTTCCCCTGTCTTCCAGAGATGTAAAATTATGTCTAAAAATACATTCGAGTTAACATGAACTAGATCTACGCTCTTGGTTTTGCTCTTAAATATAGTTTAAATCTAGGGAATATGCCTATTTGGATATTAAATCTGCATTCATCCTTTGCGGGAACATTAATTGTAAATAAACATTTGCCATTTGAAAGGGTCGGGTTGCACAATTTTCATTTTCAAAGTCAAGCAATAATTTCTAAAAATTTTATAGATATCGTTCAAATCGCAGTAGTTTAAACCTATGACTTTCTGTCATTAGGTTAGGAATTGGGTTTTCTTACATTATAACATGTGACGTTTAGTTAAGTATTTACATACTAAGTGACTGAAATCGACGCCGAAAACTTAACCATCCGAATTCCTCAGCATAATTTGCACAAATTCATGGTCTTGAGTGTGAGCATCAGTTTTGAGTTTTATTACTAAATGCGTAAAAAAAAAAAAAAAAAGTAATAATAATTATTATAATATTAATAATAATAAGAATGACAATAATGATGCAATGGTATGGATGCTATTGCTCAACGGTTTCGTCGTATCAATTTTAATGAGTTAAGGTTAAATAAGTTTTTGAATTTTACATAAAAGGCGATCATCACCCATTCTCAGGGGAATTGTGATATCCAAAGAACAAAGAAGAAAAAAAATATTTTTCAATTTCTGGTTATTTATTGTTATTTTTGGTTCCTCCAATATGTCTCAATCTCAGCTAAAATTATTTCATGATCATCATATCCATAGATTTTTAGTGAGAGCTTCATATATTTGATATGTGAAGGTATATTTTTTTATGCAATGAAATGTTCGAGTATCAGTATGTCTGCTGGTATTAAGGTTACAGGCAATCTTATTATAGTTTATTTTCTTTGCGAAGACACTTTTTTAAACTGGCTACATATGTAACAAAAATGTTATAAAAGTATATAAACTTAACATGATTTTTTTGTCTGTGGTGGCGAGTTGAATATTTAGTTACAAAAGAGACAAAAAAAACTTCTTTGTAGGTTTGAAAAAATAACAGTTTAAGAAATGTGCAGTTTTGTCAGAAAGAGGCTTTAAGGTTGAGTTTATACTTTATTTCGTCAATCAATATGTACTCGTGTTGAAACAAACCTTATTGAT